GAATTGGTCTGGAAGGCTCTGACTGGGACAGTGGCAAACACACATGATGGTGGTGGATCAGTGTTGCTGGGTTAGCCATCTGGAACAAGGCACAACTAAATGGGCAAAGCGTTTCCATGGCTGGGTGGTTAACAGCTACTCTACAGCAGCATATCTTGCTTGTGTTGCTTTGAGCTCATATGAAGTGCCACTATATCAGTCATAAAGGGGTGATGACAGTGCCTCCAAAGAGAGCTGCTGAGATGTGTGAAGTGACATCCTTGTTACTTGTGCCTCTGCTTGTTCTACAGATCACCCAGGCTTTCATTATAGCCCTGAGGGAGAAATTAAATCATCGTACCAGCCTAAAGAAGGCACTACTCCTCACAGAGTGAGAAGGAAATCAGGTGAATAAACTCCTTTACCATCAAGATGACAAAAAGGAAAACAAGCAGGGTTGTTCAGGGTTGGGTGAGGCCGGTCACCTGGCATTGGTCTTTAACCTGCACTCCATGCAGATTTAACATGGCATGGTATCGCTCAGATATGGGTGGAGCATCTTATTAACCATTTGTTGTGTGATTTATTTGTTTATCCACTGTTTGCAGTTAATGTCATGGACATACATTCCTAATGCACATAAAGAATGGTTGATACTTTCTAATGGATAAAAGAATGCATATGGAGGAAAGCCAGTTACATTATTTAAATCTGACATTTCTTCGCCGCACCCCAAATAATTACTGTCTTAGAAGTGGTTTCATCCTGATTATGATAGGCTTGTTATTTTGAAATGTGATTGCTATTTTTACTTAGTGTAATGTCTGCCTTATGGATAATAGAGATTTGAGAGGTGGTTATGCTGATGTGGATTTTTTTTTTTTTCCTCATAGCTTGCTCATACATCCATAAATACTGTCAGCTTCATCTTGAAGCCACTGCCAATGTCTGTGTACTTGGGTGACTTCATATTGCAGTCACTGTGTTCCCCTCTTTGCTATTTAAAGACCTTTCCAATTTGGGGTGTGTAATATTGTGTATTGGGTATAATTTAAACAAGGTTCATGAGAGTGTTGATGTATTGATTGATCATATAGCAGCATTTGTGTCTGAAAACAATTAAGTTGTAACTACTTTTCAGGCATCTTCCTTTGTTTCTGAGGGGAAGGATTGTATGGGTGCTGCTTTGCCTGTAAAAGAAATAATACAAAAATACTGATCAAATGGCCTCCTGGGTAACGTTCAGCTACTTGCACTTTTAAAGCCCTGCTAAGTTGTTGGTACCTCATCTGTATTTCTAATAGGAAACCTTCAGCAACTTAGAGCGATAACAGAGATGACCAAGTCATTTGAAAGCAGGAATCTTAACATAGGTTGAAAATTTGTGTGGCTTGTTGTATGGAGGGCAGCTGCTATTGCATCAAGAAATATGTATGTTCTTTGATAACAGCTATAGGTTTGACATTCAACAAATACTTTTTTTGTGAGAAAATTGGTGAATACGTGAAGGGAACCTACGGGAAGGCTGGTGAGGGACTTTTTACGAGTGTGTTCAGCGTCAGGACAAGAGGAGATATTTTTTAAACTGAAGGAGAGTAGGTTTAGACTAGATCTTAGGAAGAAGTTCTTCGGTACGAGGGTGGTGAGACTCTGGAATAGATTGCCCAGAGAGGTTGTGGATGCTCCCTCCCTGGGGGTGTTCAAGGCCAGCTTAGATGAGGCCTTGAGCAACCTAGTCTAGTTGAGAGGTGCTCCTGCCCATGGCAGGGGGGTTGGATTAGACGATCTCTAGGGTCCCTTCCACCCTAAGCCATTTCATGATTAAGAAATGAAAATCTGGCTTCCCTGCATGGGCTCAGAAGCTTAAATTTTGGAATTGGTGTTACAAAAAGCTGGCCAAGTTGCCCATAGCTTGCTTCAGGATGCTGGAGTGCTTAAACATGTTGTTGTCTTTTTCAGAACCGTCATCTAGAGTCCATAAAGTTTTGAAGTCAAACGGTAAGCTACTTCATCTACTGTTTCATTGAGCCAGTGCTTCTGTCCTTTGTAGAACAAGTGAAAATGGATCCTTTTCTCCTATAACTTTCCCTAAATATGTTGGGGGGGCAGGGGGAGATGTGCAAAGAAAACAAAATGTTACTGTTTAATTACTCCTTTCCTACACTTGCGTTCTGGTCCTGTAGACATCCTAGCAACTGGCAACTGAACACATAGTCTTGGCCATTGTGAGTAGTTGATCATATCAGTGTTGCAAAATCAGGACCTCAAGAGGAGCTGTAGTAAAGCTTATACTGTCTCTGTTTTATCAGAGACCCTATAGTCTGTTTGTCCAATTGCTGCTGCATTTAACGCCCTTTTGGGAATTCATAATTGGGATATTAGTGTAGCATTAAAACAGGCATAGGCTGGCACCAGTTTGATTGTTCACTTATGATGAAGTATGTATTTCTGTTTTCAGATATAAGTCCAGATATGCAGAAGGTAAGCCATTTCTTATCTTTCTTGTTTTAGCACATTCAAATGACCTAGAGCACAACATTTACTGTAGAATCTGTATCTTCTTGGATGTGTTGATTTTAAGAATGGAAACAAAACCATAAATCTTTAGCATCTCCGATAAGATTACTGGAATGAGAGCAATAGAAATGCAGCTAACTATTTCAGGAATATCTCATAAAGAAAAAATGACTGGCCCATAAGTTGTTGTGCTTTATAATACAGTACAATCAATTACTAATGCTTTAGGATACTTAAAAATACCACTATAATAGTGGAAGTGCTGCATATAAAGGTAGTGTTTATTTGGAGCATATTAGCTTTGCATTTATTAAGTAATACTGGAAAGGTTCAGCTTATTCTGGTATATATCTTTTATATATGTATATGTCATGATATATAACCAAACAGATCATATACAGTTTTAGCAGATGGAAATAAGCATTTCTAATTGTTACATTTTCTGTGGGAATTTATATTGAAGTTCCCAGTGCAGTTTGAATTTCAGGTCCTAGGGGTTTATTTGGGATGGAATTTAAAGTGGGGGTGTGTGGAAGATACACAAACAGGGTGCATTAGATGTGACTTCACTGGGATGCCATAACACAAGCCCATGATTGAGGTGAGGGGGGTTGCATATATTTTTTTTTCAGTTCTCAATATTCTATGAAAAAATATTGTTTTGCTTTCTATAAAGCTGATTTCAGTGCGGCTAACAATGTAGCTCAAATGTTGCCTGTAAGTTTGATGTAAAACAGTGTCTTTCTAGAATACATAATCTCTATAGACTTCTAATCAAAGTTCTGTGGCGTTTTTTTAAGCGGATCAGTATTGAAGGAGCCCTATTATCTCAAGCCACCAAACTAGGATCAAATGAAGCCCTGCTGAATTCTAGGAAAAAGGTTCCATTGGAACCAAGTGGTTTGGAGAGCCAATTTCAAGAGTCCGTTGAGCCAGGCTACAGCAGCGATCAGGATGAAAATCTTCAGACTTCTGCTACGGAACAGATTGATGCTGATGATGAGGAAGAGTCTGAACAGGTAGGAAAAAGAGGGAAAAAAATAAAATACCCTTTTCCCTGGGGGGGATGGAAGAGGGGGGAAAAAACAGCAAGGAGGCAGGAATATGTTACAAGTGTTTGCAACTTTCTTTCGGTAGAAATATTTTTATTTAGACCTCACACAACACACTCATGCATTTGAACAGAGATGATGTAAAATTAGTCCCTGTACAGAGGAAGAAATACCCACTACTTGAAAGAGATTTTAATTAGTCCTCTGCAGTCCTCAAGCTTAGTTCTGACAGAAAGCTATTGCTTTTACCTGTTGCACACGACTGACCTTTCCTTGCTTCTCCAGCTGATGCTGTGAAAGGAACTGGTTTAGGCCACATGCAGAGACAGTGCCTTCAGGTCTCCAAAGCAAGGACTTGATTATTAAGTTAAGATTTGGGCACTGCCTCCTATGATGTGATGTTTCTTGACCTGTGAGCTGCTGGCAGTAGCTAGGAACATGTGAACTTTAATGTGGGAAGTAATGAGTAGAATTTCTGAAAATGAGAATCTTTATCTTACTTCTGCACAAGTGGTAGTTTTCCCCACTCTGCATGGTGTTTCCACACGTATTTTATACTTCTGAAAGACTAAAATCCCAGCCTTGAGATGTAGCTGTATTAAAGAATCTAGATTTTCAGTTTGTTTCGTTTAGTCGATGCTGAGGTCATATCCTTGTGTGTTCTATTTATTTTGTGAATTACCCAAAACCTATTATTGAAATTTTTTGGTGCTTACTGTGCATCTCCTCTTTGAAATTATGCTATTTGCATTGTAAATCTTTGATAAAATAGTATCTTCTATCAGTGTAGTCCAGTGTCTTGTAATTCTCCCTCTTCCTGACCTAAGTACAAAAGAATGAGTAAATGCGAAAGAATACTACTATAAAAATAGTAGCTTAGTTTTTAATTCTAGGTGTGGCAACAATAACTTCTCAGATTCCCCCTGTTCCCACCATGTGTACCCTTCACTCTGAGTGAATTTGGACGCTGCCCAACATGTAACATTCTGGCCTTCTGTATATTGTGTTTTTTTTCTGGAAAGTTGGATGACAGCATATTTTTCAGTTTAGACCTCTTTCTGGTTTTCAGGATTGTGAGTGATGGTGAGACTGTCCCGTCTCCTTTTTAAAACCAAAAAAAACCTTCGAAAATTGAATTTTTGTGTGACCACCTTCCTCTGTTATAACTTTGGCTGTGAGATTAAGCCCTTTCCCTTGTCCAATTTCTATGTTCTTTTACATCTATATTTTTATACATGAGTTCTGCTTTCAACCCCTTTTGAGTTGTATGGTTTGATACTGTTTAATTGGTTGTTGTAAAGAAAGTTTTCTAGACTCTGAATCATTCTTGTGGCAGTGCTCTGACTACTTATGAGCATTTTGTCCTCCTGGTGTGGATACCTGGCCTGTTCTACCTGCTAGTAATCCTTCTGAACAAGACTGTACAAAGAACTGTAGATTTTTTTTTTTATTACCACTCCCTTGCTTTTTTTCTTTTAAGTCACAGGGAGTGCAGCAAAACTCACTGCAGAAATCGAAAGGGGGAAGAAAAAGACTTAATAGTCAAGCTGCTGAAAATGTTGAAAAAAGGAGAAGTGTTAATCTCAACAAGTGTGAAACGCAGGTATATAATTTTTCTTTACTTCTATTTTGCTATGCATCATAGGTATGTCAAAGAAATCTCTGTTTTTCCTAGGAAGACAGATAAGTCATCTTCTATTTATGTCATGTATTAATATTCGTATCATTGAAATATTCATCTGTATGATGAAAGACTATTCTTTTGGGGGCAGGGAAAAAAAAACCATAACTAACCAAACCAATCAGCATTAACTGAAGACAAGAGGAATTATGGTTCCCTCCCTTTCCCTGCCTCTGGCCAGGAACATCTATAGCATTCTTCATGTTAGCATTAGCAAGCATGTGGCCTTGCTGTAAATTAGATCTGCTAACAGAGCTGGGTGAAAACTTACTCCACAAACAAAATGAAATTTTCAGTGGCATCTACTAGAGAGCACAACATAACCTTTCTTCTAGAGTTATAGGCAAGGGGAAAGTGAGGAGGAGAAGAAAACTTTTGGCACAAGCCCAGAGTCAGATTAGCTTAATCCAACTGTGAAACTGCGGAGTTAGCATAAAAGGGTTTAATCCAACTCCTGCCAAACAAATTTGTGTTTGATTACTCACGCGTTGGCATGAGCCAGTGCGTTGTGTTTGAAGCAAGATGTTATTAAAGGCCAAGAGTGAACTCTGAGCCATGATAAGGGTTAGGAGGCAAAGCAGTCTGGCATTGCACCTTGGCTCCCTGGCACTGTAGCGAGAAGCCTGCTCACTGTGCCCATCTCTACCTGATTTGGTGCTGCTGGACACGCTGGTGGTATGGCAGTTCTGTGAATGGAGGGAATCACTGTATTATTGCAGGGGACAGGCTAATGTTACCTCTGTATTTCAAATCTCCACAGAGCTCTAAAGGTCCTTCAGATGAAGAGTCAACCCAGCTGAATACCGATCTTCCCTTTTCCTGCGCAGCTAGACAGCCACAGTTGCCTAGACAATTCAGCACACCCCAGAGCAACTCACTAATCATGAATATCCTGGGGGGAAGTACCTCGGTCAGAAACATCTGGACTGACCATCAGATCAGGCAGGCACTATTTCCCGGCCGGCGCCCACCTTACGAGAATGAAGACGATGAAGACGATTATCAGATGTTTGTGCCATCAGTGTCTGCATCCAATGCTAGTTCAGCTGTGGGTGGAGAAAGGAGGGGATCTTCTGGGCGTCCATGCAGCTGGCACTTGGGGGTAGTGCATCAAAATGAGACTTCCAGCCCCACTCGCCACAAAATCGTTAGGCGGGCTAGTAGTGCTGGTGAAAGTAACACGTGTCCAGCCAGCGCAAGGTATAAAACAGGGGAGCGCAGTTCTCGAAGGGAAGTGAAGAGAGCAGAGGTGAGCAGTATGAATGCATATCCTGAATCTTCAGAGGAGCTGACCATTGATGATATTGAACATGTTTATGATAATATAAGCTATGAAGACTTAAAGCTGATGGGTCTGACAAGAAGGGAGGAGACAGATCATGGTCCCCAGAGATCTGCTAGAGACTCCCTTTACGAGGCTGAAAACAAAAGCAGCTTAGATTCACCCTCCAAAAAGAGAACAGCAAATCAAAACAGGGCCTCTATTCATGCTAGTAGGGATGAGATACTACTCAGTAGAGAAGCACCTACTTCAAGTTTGGATGAGCTCAGGATCGTTGAAGACAACATTTATGACACCATAGTGCTTCCAGAAACACCACTATTGAATTTTAAATATGATCCCTTAAAATGCTCTAAAAGGAGGAGTTTTCTGGGCCTAGAAAAAGACTTTGCATGTTGTGACAATCTACGGCAGTTTGTTTCTGAAGAAAGTCTTCAGTTCAGTGAAGATGAAAGTACTTACCATCGTGTTCCCATTGACAATGACTATTTGAGCTTAGTAGATAGCTCTTCCAACTCAGATTCGCTGTCCCACAAGTCTGCAGCAGATAAACTTTCAGAGGAAGTAGACGAGATTTGGAATGACCTGGAGAACTACATCAAGAAGAATGAGGAAAAGACAAGAGACCGTCTACTTGCAGCCTTTCCTGTTTGTAAAGATGATATGCAGGAAAGGCTGCATGCTGGTAGTACACCTGAACTGAGTAAAGATGTAGAGTACTCTCTGTCTACTCTCTCTCTCCCAGAAACTCCTATTTTCCCTAAAACCATGAAGCCCAGGGCTGCCACGATAAGTGAGGCTAATCTCAGGCTTGAAGACACGAAGGAGAACTCTTTTATGAGTCTGAACAGATCTTCCTTCTCCAGTGAGATGCCTTTTGTAGATAGCCCATACGAATCTGCCAGTAGTGTTCTGTCCAACGTGCATGCAGAGGGTATGGAAAATGACTTGGCTGTTGTGGATAAAACAAAGAACAGAGTTTTTATGATGGCAAGGCAGTACAGTCAAAAAATTAAGAAGGCTAACCAGCTTTTGAAAGTTAAAAGTCCAGAGCAGGAACAGCCAGCTAGCAGACAACAGAAACTGAAACACAAAGATCTTGCTGCTATTCTGGAGGAGAAGAAACAAGGAGGTCCTGCTATTGGTATGTTCTAAATATTTTTATACAGATGTATTTCTTTAGTAACTTTTGGTGAAATTTGTGTACTGAACTGGAAAAGTACGAATTTTCCCCACCTTGTTAGTTGAGTGTCAGTATTGTATTTTCTGTGTTACCACTGAAATGAGTTTTCTGTGACTGATTCTAACATGAATACTCCTTTATATCTCAATTCTTGTTGTTGCTTGGTAAAATTTGGAATAAATAGCAGGGCAGTGTGAGGAAAGATCAATTCAGCTGAGGCGGGAAATAGAAATAATGCCTGAAGCACTATTGGCCTCTTTACAGAAAAGCAGTTATTTCCTTTAATAGCGTGATCTTCAGACTTTGACTAAAAAGGCATATTTTCAGGTAGGTTCACCTCCTAACAAGTCATGTACGTTTGCTCAGCTGCCATCCATATCACACCTATAAGCATAAGGAATGGGGTCAGATAAGAAAGAGCTGGTGGTCTTGCTCTTATCTAGTGAATATGTAAAGTTGTGAATATGCAACAGTTTTGGAACTATTTTTGTCCATGGTCAGTTGAAACAAATTGGAGACATGGAGCCAGCAGGCTTCATGAACTAGAGTATCATTCTTGCCTTGTGATATTTATAAAAGTCCCTAAATATCTTATTTACAAGGCCATTTTCAGAATGTTCTTTTCCATTTTAACATGAAACAAGCAGCCTGTTATTGGAACTGTGTGCTACATTACGTCCTGCAAGACTGTTCACTGTCTGAAGATACTTTGTTCTGCTTTTTCTCAATGCAATGTGCTGAAATGCAATGCATGACTCTTCCAGCCTCCGTTGTTTCATGTTACTTTGTTGAGGCTGAAGATAGTGACAGCTTTTCCCTTGACCCATAGAAAGCGTTTTGAGATTTTTACATTTTCACATGACTCATTCCAATGGGTTGCTGGCCTCTGCTAAGTTAATTCTCTCTCGTTTCTAGGTGCCAGAATAGCTGAATATTCCCAGCTTTATGATCAAATCGTCTTTAGAGAAAGTTCACCTAAGGTCCAAAAGGAAGTCTGGGCCACTCCTCAGGAGCCATCAGCTGGGAGGCTTTCCACGCCCATGGCTGCGTCTCCTCCCCGTTCCCAGGCTGCCAGTGAATGTTCAAGAGCAGAAGATTGGCTTTTGCATTCTACATACAGTAACAGCGAGCTGGCCAACTTCTCTCCATGGCCTGAATCCCAAGACCCAAAGTCCAAGAGCTCATATACAGAAGTTGGTACAAAAAGCACTTCAAGGCAGTTGCCATCAGCTGGCTCGGTGCCTTCCCTCCAGTTTTATAACCGTTTGCATGTCCCAGCACAGAGGTGGAGCGCCATTATAAGCCAACCGAACAAAGAAAATTTACATCAAGATCACATCTATAACTCCCTTGGGAGAAGAGTAAGCAATGTAAAACCACAGGCATACAGCAGGTCGCAGTCATCTTCCTCGATTGTGGTCAGCCGGTCTGGAGAGTCAATTGTATATCCTACTGAGATGGACAAGAAAAAGCTCCATTCGAATAGAAACTCCCGATTCAACAGCCATCAAACGCCGGGTATTGCTTCAGGATGTATGGGGCCTGATGAGAGAAAGCAGATCCCTGAAAACTGTTCAGATATGATTCTGCAGGATTCTCAAAAGGTCCTGAGAGTGAACAGGGCTTCCCCTCTGACAGCACAGATGGCCACTCAGAACTATTTTTCGAATTTCAAAGATACTGAAGAAGAAGGGGATGATGATGACTATGTTGAAATAAAGTCTGAAGATGAGGGATCGGACTTGGAGACTTCTCAGAACCAAACAAGGAAATTGGATCCTAAACTGCGTAACGCAGACGCTGCTCCTTCTGAAACTCTCTGCGGCAAAACTGTCTCGTGTACTCCTGCAAAGTCTGCCAGCAGCAAACACGCGCTTACCCCGTATCTGACTGCATATAGTGATTCGGATAAACTGAATGACTACCTGTGGAGAGTACCGTCTCCTAATCAGCAGAATATTGTCCAGTCTTTAAGGGAAAAGTTTCAGTGTCTCAGTTCGAGTAGCTTTGCTTGATGCTTTCAGTAATTGCTAGCTGTACTGCCTTATCATGACAGAGTGTATACTAGGACAATCAGTACTGGCACCATATATTTCCATAATATTACACAGTCAGGCATTGTATCACAGTAACATTGTAAATAGATGTGAAATGTATCTTTTTTTAAATGGTTTAGAATCCTGGAAGTGAAAAAGGCCAGGTGCGCACTGTCTGGTATCTCACTCCAGAGTGTATCTGGTATCTCACACCAGAAGGTGCACTTCTCGCCTCCTATTTAACCTTTGCATCTCTTCCCTTGTTAAGTGTGATCCCCTTCAATTCTTACCATCAAACCAGGTGTGATGCCATTTGATTCGTAAACCATTTTATTGTGTGGAAATTTTCGTATTTGGACTTTGAGTTGGTGACCAGTGTTCTGTGTCCAAAACACCCACGTGATTACTCTGGTTACATATGGGAGCATTTAGCTGAGCAGCTACTCCTGTGACTGTGCAGATATCTGAGCAGCATTCTGGTAATTACGCCAACATGCTACGTGTGCAATTGCACGTACTTTTTGCACGTTACTTTTTGTCAGACAGATTCCAAGAGTGTGGGACCAATGCATACGCTACATTACTTTAGAACAGGCTTCTTATGTTTCAAACAAAGTCTAGTCCTAGTGCTTGTGAGGGATGCCAGACTGATAGCCCTGTGTCTGGAGCCTCTTCTGCTTTCTGTAACGCCATAGTAAGCAGAGGACGGGTAGTGGCAGCTGCTTATGTGAACCTGTGGATGTGACGCAGTCCTTGCCAGGAGGATGCTTTGGGCAGTAGAAGGGGAGCTCCACTGCTCGTGAAGATGGCTAGACCAGGTTTGGTACCTCCAGTGATGGTGATGTTTGGGACATGCAGTCAAAATCTGAGTGTCTTGTAGCTCAGAGCCCAGCAGTTGAAAGACGCTGTGTGTGAGTTTGCGAAGTAGCTGTATTTTATACACAGTGGCTTGCAGGGCATTTGTTGGAATCCCAGAGTCAGTACCGTTGAGAGAGAATGAGGGCTGGCCGGCTGCTTGGGTGAAATATTAATCATGGGGCACGTTTAGCTGAGCGACGAGCTGCCTTCCCCAGGGAATCTATCTCACATAGCTGGAAACGACTCTTCCTGGCAGATAGAGGTAAATACATATTTTTCTAAATCAACCAGGGCTGACTAATCCAATTTATGTACAATAAAAGTAGCTTAAAAAATGAGAATACATTCCGTTCTTTTTGCAAATAATGTATAGAATAAATGCTGCCATTTAGAACAAGAACAGGGTTTCCATTATGATGCACGTTTACTCCCCTTTGTCATTGTTGTTGCACAGCTTTGGATTCTGTTACTTGAAAACTTTGTACCTGAAGGAAAGCCTAAGTATGTCTACACTGATCATCTTGTGTGACTGTTGTTCTTTTTTGGTGCTTAAATTCTTCAGACTACGTAGATAAAGCCAGTACCAAGATAAACATATCAATAAATAAAGGAGTTTCATTGAAATACTATTTTTACTAACCACCTATCACTCCCCTCAGCTACAGTACTTCCAGAATGGCTGACTAGTTGCTACATTGGTTACCATGAGGAAACACCTGAAGCAGTGTACAGCTCATTACTTGCAGACTAAGATTTAAGGACTTGAATTTGCTAGAACAGATTAAATTATTTCCCACATGTATCTTGCATTGGCTAGGAATTGTTATTTTGGGGGCTGGTTGGTCATGGCACTTACTAGCTCGTACCACAGGGATACTTGTTACCGTCAGCACATCTGCTGTGATAGGATCTGCATCTATCTGATCAAAGCCGGCTGAGAAATAATGTTGTATATATTTAAGACACCGAGGTGTAGCAGAGCCCGTATTTATTTAATATAGCTTGTAAAGTATTGTAAATATGAATAGGAGTTTAATCTGTGCTTTACCTGCGCATGTCTTAGATCTGGTTAAATGGCTTAGGGGGATGTTGTTTGAACTCTCATCTCATGCGCTCAGCGGCGCTGGGAGGTGGGAAAACAAACAAAACAAAACAACCCACAACAAAGAAAAAAAAAAACAGGGGAAAAAAAAAAAGGGACTTCTACTAGTGTGTAACTTCTCCCAGGGACCATTTCATACTATTTTTAATAAACGTTGAGTATGCAAAAGTTTTGGGTTCCGTTCATTGGGGTCGGGATGCTCGGGTTTATTAACGGGGAGGGAGGGAGAGGGTGGTTTCTGTCGGTCGTGGGGGATGTTTGTTTGTTTGTTTCTTCTTGCAGGCAGGCGGAAGCGAAAGGGGCTGAACGCCGGG